GTATGCTTCAGCTGAATGTTCATGGTGTCACAGGGGACTCATCATACTGCAAAAAAACCTCCTGAAAATATTTTATTTAACTAATTATTAAATGAGCAATAAGAAAATCTCAGTTTGCAGTACGACTGTGATCCCTGTTTGCCTTAAGAAAACAGAATTTGGGCTCAACCAGATATTTTATTTCCAAGAAAACATGTGCATGAAAGAAATCCCTTTATGGTTTCTGACTGGTCAAGGTTTGATTTTAATTAGGTTGTTCAAAGTGACATTTTAAAACATGTTTCCATTGTGACTCATTTGTTTAGTTTTTTCAGTAACCAATAATTTACTTTTCTTTAAAATCGTTTGATCTGTCACTTACTGACTGAAACTGACTACTTTTTTTAAATTTGTACACCAGATATGAAACACGAAAATTGATAATTAAGATAATGTTGAACAAAATGTTATTAATTTTGAACAATAACAAATTCATTAAGACACAATATTTACAATTATGTTAAACTGTTCAATGTGTTGGTTGTTTGCACAAACTATTTCATCACTTGGCATTTACCGACGTGTATTTTGACACAACTTTTTCATGATAAATTTGTTGCTGATTATAAAAAACTTGTGAGAAAAAGTGACCTAAAATTGCAATTTATTTGCATTTACTTTAAATTAAAGCTATTTTTAAATGCTGYAATAACCTTAAAAATGTTGCTTTGAAAATCTTGGTGGTAATCTTTGGTTCACAATCTTATAACTCAGTTTTACTGTAGAAAATATTGGATTATCGGAGCTTTAAGTTTGTCTTTTCCTTATTCTGACCTCTGACTTGACCCTGTTGTTACATCCTAATGCTTACATAACTGACTTTAAGGGATTCCCCACCAACAGAGCAGCTTTGCTTTTGCTTCCCTACATCACTTTGTTTGCTTTTATACTCTGAGATTGTAGCCTGATTTAAACCAAAACATGAATTTCATTCATCAGGTGTTTTTGTCTTTCTGTCCTTACCTGTGTGGACAGGTTGAGTGTCCGCAGTGTAAATCCGAGGACACAGCCAGTAACAACAGCAAAAACTGAAAGTGTCAGCAGTCCATTCCTTCTGCAGTAGTCCCTCACATACGCCCTGATCTTCACAGAAACCATACGCTTGTACAGACTCTTCACTTCCTCCATTCTGATTCAGCTTCAGTCCTTGCCGGCCCCCCCACCCCTGTGTCTTGACCACAGATGTCCAAGTCTCTGTCTGTAGGCACAGGACCTGCACAGATCCCACTAAAGGCACAAGAGAGCCTGGGATCCTGTTCTGATGTGGGTCCTGTTAAACACTGAAGAGCTGATCCAGTCTGAGAGAGGAAGTGTTGATGGAATGATTCCTGGTAAAGCAGCTCCTAAAAGGATTATCCACGTCCCTCCCCCCCCACTAACACAGCCACACAGGCTTCAGGCTTAGAGGTTGAAGGCAGAACTTCAACTCCAATTAACGCCCCCATTCAGAGCTCGTTAAAAGGTACTGCTACCCACCTCCAAGCCATTTCATTCATAAAACAGGAGCACGGACTTCATTTCTTTGACTTGATCGTCACACATTTAGGAGCAAGATTACAGCAGCATCCCGCTCAAAAGAAATGAAAGTAAGTGACTGATTATAATTTGTTTAAAAGACTTAATTTATCCAAAGAATTTCATCAATAACAAGAAGTTAAATCCAWTGTAGTTATCTCCTGCATATTATTATGGGGAAAATGTCATTTCATGCCCTTGTTATTAGCTGTTCCAGTTCTCAGTTTATTTTTGTGACTTGTTTGCACGACTTCTTAGTTCTGCGGTCGTCCAGCGTCTGTGAATGTCATCGTGTCTGTGATGACCCAAGAGGTGTCTTTTCCCATCTAACAATGGCTGCCGACGTCACCTGGGAACAATCCAATAACACTTAATCTGCTCTGCCCAGTGCCAGTGATTTTTCTGAGTAAGKGGACGCCACARTATTCATAGAGGGGCCAAGTATTTGTTCAGCATCCTTGCACACAAATACATGGTTTTAGTAAGTTGCATTTAACCAGTCACATGTTCACACACTTGTATTAAAAAAAACTTGCACACCAATTTTTATGGATTTTTACTGTAAACAGATAAAATATACTCTCAAACACACTGCATGTGAGAAAATCCAGCCATCACTTGTTAGCTGAAAGACTTTTTCTGYAGTTYAAATTCTCGTAAATAGAGACTTCTGTGAGCTTGATTCATGCTGGACATTCCCATTTGACTCATTAGCGCAACTAGWGTTTAAACATGGAATTGCATTTGCCATCATCGCTTTTTGGTAAAAGGATAGATAAGGGGTTCCCARACTTTTCCATGCCAAGACCACCCARAAAACTTTAGCTTTTGGTCGGGAACCCCCTGCAAGTTGACAATAAAATACATCAATATATGTAAAGAAAACACAGCTTTTTAGAATTTTTTTCTCACTTTTATTCACTATTGAATAGCTGTAAAGCCATAGGCTACTTAATGTATATGCTGCCTCAAACTTCCTGATTTTACTTGGCCAGGAGTTTTTTTTTTTTTTACACACAGTGCTAGCAGGGCACTGTGTGTAAAAAAACACAGTGCCCACAAACTTCAAGCTTGACAAAACAAGCTTGAAGTTTGTTTTGTCACAAACTTCAAGCTTCAGACTGAACAAACTCTGTCACTAACCTGGGGAGTACTGCCACTCTCTAGTTTCCTGGGTGGTTCTTGCAAGTTTAGTGCTGAGAGCGGGAACAAACCAGGAACAACAACAAAGCAGGGAGATGGATGGTTGTGGCAAAATCAAAGACATTCTTGCCAAAAAATAAAGGCATCATGTAAATATCTCTAAAAATGGGACAGCAAATTCATAAATAAAACTCAAATAAATATGCTTTAATTCCCTTTTCTGTTTTCATTTGGGCTCTATTGTAATAATGTCCACAGCATTTCAGTGTCAACTAATTTATATCTATCAGATTTTGATCACCTAATTGAATTTGTAAGTGGYTCACAAGTGGCTATTTTAGATTTCTTGTACACTTGTCTTAAAATGTAAGACAAATTGGGGCCAGGTTGGGATGTGGGCACTTAAAACTTTCCTTTATTTTAAAATCTAAAACTTGACAGATCAGAAAGATGAGCATGGCAAAAGACCTTTCAATATATTGTTATAAATTATATTTAAAATCAGTTGGACCATATTCCCTCAAAAACAATAAAAAAAAAAAACTTTCAACA